ACATGACACTATGTAGCATTATTAATTAAAGCAAAGTTATATTAAGACGATAACAAACGGTCATAATATTATTGTAAATGAGCGTAAAATTATGCTCATGTACCGGTGAAAATAAGTAGCCGGCAACGGAAGGAGTTTTTCTCCTTCATTGACCTATAGCCAAATGCCTGAATATTCGGAAAGTAAGTCAATCTAAAAATGTGCAATAGCACATAATAAACGCGTAAATTAAACGGATAAAATAAATAATAACATAAAAATATGCATAAAATAAATAATAATATATAATAAATAATAATATATAAAAATAAACTCAGAAACTCGCGAAAAATAAACACTGCGTTTGTGTAATAAAATCCTAATTAGGGCGTATTTCCCAAATCTAAAAAAATCGCATATTTCCGCTGGTTTAATTTGCAGAGTAATTAGGGCTGTGGTCATTGCTTAGGATCTCATTCAAACTATTAGGATCGTTAAAGTTGTTAGGATCCTTTAGTAGGATTGTTAGGTAGGATCGTTAAGATTGTTAATATCACTAAGGTTGTTAGGATCACCAAAATTGTTTAGGATAATTAGGATTGTTAGGATTGCTAGATATAATATTTTATATAGTAGGATTATCTATTATAACTTTATTATATTATAATTTATTATACTTAATTTTAATATACTATAAGGCTTTTCTTATAGAATATTAAAATTAAAAGTTATAATGTAAGATCAAAAAATTATATATCATTTTTACAAAGCTATACAATCAAGATTAATGTATAATGTTCGACATCATTCTTGATTTTTAAAAATATTTATATTGCATATATAATGCGAATTATATGTAATGTGAATGTTTAATTTTTACGTTATTTAAATAATTTATTGCGAAATAACAAAGTCAAGCAATATACACAGACCTTGTAACACACCTTGTAAGTGTTGTATACCATTCGATAGGAAATTTTACACAAAAATTTGTGTTGTAGAGGCCTCCCTCTTGTGGAGGCCCCTGGGCTTCAGATCCTGTTGCCCTCCCCTTCCCTCTAAATTCGGCCCTGGTTCTCGCTAGAGATTGTATGAAGCAATATAAATGAACTTTTAGAAATGAGTTTAGAAGCCTAATGAAAATAAACCGTAAATAAACCGAAATCTTTTTCATTAGGCTTCTAAACTCATTTCTAAAAGTCCATTTATATTCCTTCATACAATCTCCAGCGGGAACCTATCTTATTTTGTGCATACAAACTGCAAAACTTTTATATATATTAAGCAAATATTGTTATGGCCTTCTTACGATTTTTCAATTTTTTAAAAATTTGTAATATAAAATCAGGAGGTTTCCGCTTTGTTTCTGTATGTACTTTAATCGTGGAGGAGCATTTATTATTTTGTGAAAAATGAAATATAACATTTTATCGGTAAAACAGGACTCTGGCATCCGCTTACATCTATATTCTTAACATTATTGATAATTTTCAAGTGAATAAATTATCTAGTGCAAAATTAAATTGCATATTAATTGAAATGATAAAATTGATTAGTCAGAGAAGATTCGCGCGCACATGTAGCTGGACCATTTGGATGCAATTGAATTTTTTCCTCCTCCCCTTTGCCTCTATTGTTATACTATCGAAGCGTCATCTAGGTAAGAACCTAGGAAAGACTTTATTGTTTCTTTCACCTCAGCTGATCACATGTGCGATGAATGATCGTCGTTTTGCATGAATCAGATTTATTTTATTCAAATTGGTAATCATGAGCACCAAGCTTGTAATATAAAAGAGTCCATTCATATTTTTAATATTTTATTTATTATTTATTATATATTTATTTTATTTATTTATCTATTTATTATATATTATATATTTCATTTATTATTTATTACACATTACATAGTTATTTTATTTTCTTTTTGATAGAAGATTGTAATTTAAGATAAAGTAAATTATATGCAATATACGTGCGTGTATAATAATTAATACAACATTTTCACAAATATATTAAACGATGATAACAGGAGTGTAATATGCAATAAAAAGTTTTACATTACAATATTACTACACCGTATGTGGTGTTATGTCTGTTCGATTTAAATAAACAAGAATGAAAATTTTTTATTAGTTTACGTGTAACAATGGGTGTAACAATGGGTACATTCTCTAGATTTAAAAATAAAGTCATTAATTATTCTTGAAATGATTGCTTAAAAACAAAAATAAATTATAAGTGACTTTTTAAAAATCTTAATTATCTAGCTTAATAATTATTTTTCGTTGTCTTTTATCAATCAGAGTTGATTAGCTAAGAAGTGAGAAAAGCATGAATTTATGAAAATAAATGAAAAGAAAAATGAGAGAAAGAAAGAAATGTAAATGACAACGGAATATGATAAGTATATAAATTTAATTTAAGAAGTTTAATGAAATCTGTATTTTTAAGTTTAATGAAATCTGTATTTTTTTAATTTATAAAGAAAGTTCCTTCTAATATCCAATTAATTGTTTCTTTGTAAATTGCGCGTGTTAATAAAAAATTCCTAAAAACATAAAAAATGTTTAAAAATTTCTAAAAATATAAAAAAAGAACATTGTTTGCTACAAGTATAAAATTAATCTTTATTTCTAAATTATTATAATATTTATCGCATATCTTTTGTACTCTCTTGAATGTTATAATAAATTATATAAATTATATATATTATGATGGAATTTTTATTATCATTAGATATTTCTAATCTAATATGTTTATGATAGTCATATTATATTGATGGATTGATAAATGATAAAAATATCACATCGAGAAAAGAATGCAAGATTATGTACTTTGTGATTCATTGTCAGATAGCTTAAAATGCACGTGCAATCTGCGAAAACAAAAGCAATTATTTGATGTTATATAGAAGTTTCTTTGTAAGTTAAGAACATTTCGAGTCTTATGCTTTTTAAATTAAACTTATAGTGCATTTATTCCAATTTTATCATTATCATTTCTTTCTTATCTTTATAAATTAACTCATCCATGTTTTGCTCGTTTCTTAACGTTAGTTAATCAGTTCCGATCAACAGAAAGATCATTACACGATAAAAGATAGATGATTGTTCCCGAAGAGAGTTCCTTGTATAAATCAAAGTCTTAAGTTTCATAAATTAAATTCATGATTTACTCATAATCTACTGCTGACTACCGCTTCTTTCTCGCTTTATCTTCGTGATTAATTCATCCGTCCATGCATGCATCGATTTCTTTTAGCACACTGAATCAGTTCTGATGAACAGAAGAATTGATTGCTCGTCTTTGATAAAATATTATAGAATAAAGAAAATGGAAAATATTTCTCCATTGTTTGTGTGTATAAAAAGAATTCTCTTATGTACATCCAAATTTCGGCTATTATTATCATTATCATTATTTTTATTAAATGGAATTTTTTATTTTTTGTAAGTATTTAAAGATTATTTTTCATATATGTAATTAAAAAAATACACTTTAATATATTTTTATACATTTTTAAGTAATTGTATAAAAAAGAATTTATAAATATCGATTTATTCATAATTTCGACAAAAGGAGTATATTTTTATGTTTCTGTAAAATTTTAATTTAATTATAATTCTAGCTTATTTAATTTTTAAGAAATCACAGAAATCAATTTTTGGAATACGTTTTGAAAAAATAGTTTTGCGAAAAATGAGTTCAAAGTTTCACAAGTTTAAGATTACAGATAAATAAGATTAAATCTATGCTGCTTATTATTAATTTATTACCCTTTACAATTATGAAAAATTACTTGCTTTAAAAAAAAAATGCCTGCTCAGCAGTTACATCAATACGAACTATTAATCTTTTTTAATGAATTGAATGTACAATTTTCTTTCTAAGCGATGTCTCTCGCATTTGTATATTCTTTTGTCTGTGAATTGATAATAGCTTTCGTATAATATTAACATATATTTCTCGTTGAAAATATATAAGTTAGGTTCTTAGCTTAGGTTTAAGTTAAGTTCTTAGCTATTTTATCCTGGTGTATAGATGGAAAATATAAATATATTTAAAAGCGATATAAAGAAACGAATGTCGAAATCAAAATTATCAGGATTTTGCATGTTGTTTTGAAGTATTTTTATAATAAATCTATATTTGATAAATTTGTTATTAAAATATCTGAAAAATTTAACAGTAGCCATGTGTGCAATAAGTTGACTGGAATATCTTGATTTTTTACATTTTTTATTTTCTCTACAGTTGTTCTTATAGCAAGTTAAATTACTTTTAATAAATTTGTTGCCATAAGATCCCTTTCTATTCAACATATGTTTTTCTCTAGTTTTCAGCACTGAAATAGTATCTATTTTGTACAAAGAGTAAGAGCATGCTTCTTAATATTTATTCAAAAATATTCTGACTTGGAAATACGTGATATATATACAAGATATAGATTGATGAAATACGAGAGTCATCTAGTCTTATACGAGTTCATCTATTCTTCGATAAAAAACAAGTATCAAAAAATCGAGCATATGCTTATTTCTTTTTGCGCTTTTTCTATAAAATATTATAACTTTATAATTTTTTTATTTCATTCCAAAATACATATTTCAAAAATATTTCAAAAATACTTAAAAAATATAGACTTCCTAAAAATAAAAAGTAATTTTTTTACTTGAAAAATAAGAAATCTCTTTTAATAAAAAAAAAAACATCTCGAGTACGAAGAAATTATATTACCTACACATATGTCGATTAGATTGCGAAAATCAAATCATCAAATGAAAAGCTTATAAATGAAATTCAAAAAAATGGAGGATAAATTTACCTGAGATATATTATTTCGGAAACATAGCTTCAGCATAATTCAGATCAGTAAGAATTCAGGCAGTTATTAAATTTTTCTCCACATATACGAGAAATCGGCGTGGAGAACCAATGCTCGCTGATAGAAGATACAAATCGGACTTGTGGACTTTGAGCGGTCAAAGATTGCCTCGGCGCAAGAGGTACTCTTGTTCTTATCGTAGTGGTGCAGCAGATGAATCTCGGTTGTCCTGACAGAAGGAACATTTATTCGTCTCAGTCAGTTAGTTAGAGAATTATTTTGTAAGAACCAAGATCAGTGAGAAGATAGAAAAACCGATCGAAGATGTCTTTCACTATATTAACGGGTCCACCCGGACCTGAAGCTAGGGCTCTGGCCGAGAAAGAACTTAGGGAAACCGAGGAAAATGTGAAGAACGGCATCGAGACCCTGAGAAAATATATTGAAGGTTAGTCAAAATACATTTATAATTGTCTTTCATGAATTTTTATTTATTTTAAATTTTAAAGAAATTAACATTCGAGAATCTCTGATAAAAGTTTACAAAAACTTTTATCAGAGATCCTCGAATGTTAATTTCTCTAAAATTTAGAATTAATAAAAATTCATGAAAGACGATATATAAATGTATTTTAAAAAACTTTGTCTTTTGCATATGTTTTTTCTTAAATATTGCAAAATTATTCAATTTTTCCGCATGTTTCTAATCTTGCTGAAAAGAATTACGCACATTCGTTCTATTGTGTATTATTGTAAAAAATAATCTGTCCAGGGGATGATTATTTTTGAGAAAATATTCTATTCTCTTTTTCCTATTAAAGTTTCACTTATTAAATTTACTTTAAATTAACTTATTTTTATTTATTATTACAATTAAGATCGTGTGATCTGTGATGCTCAATTATATAAATTTAAGAAAATGAAATAAAATCCTTAATGTTACGAATTATAAAATATCAATGTAAATAATATATTATTTCTGCTCCCTCTTATTTAAAGCTCCGCTTCATAACAAGAGATAAGCTATCAAGGTTAGTCTTTTGATCTTTAAAACTTGTTTGAGAATATCATTATTTTAATAAAATTGATTATGGTTCAATTTGCATTGAAAAGATCGAAAGGATATGTTTACTGGATATAATCAGAATTCTCATTACGTGCACATAATTCTAAAAAAATATGACTCGACTTACATTTATAAAAAACAATGATATGTTATCTTGAAGATTATAGAATTTAGTGCAGTAACTCGAGAGGCTCTACATATCTGAAAAATTGATATTATTGAACGAAGCATTTTTTCTTTTTTGTATGGTATATGTTGATTAATTGTTATCATGCCAAATTTAGGATTTTTGATTATAATAAGTACTATATCATGATTAAAATTCTTTACATAACACACACATTATGTATATATATATATATATATATATATATATATATATATATATTGTTTTTTTTTTATACAGTAAATATTAATTTTGCATTAAAAGAATCAATCGAAAGATTAATTTTTTTATTATTATTTTAAACGTAACTAAAAGTAATTCATATAAAAAAAATACGAGTTTTTTTCTAATGTAATGTAATGATCTTTGAAGTTAATTAAAACGAGCCATTTCGATAAAATATTGCTGAATAGATGCACTGAAAAATAATAAATCGAAATGGCCTATGACATTTTGATAATGTTTTTTCCGCGTTTTATCTTTTCTCTCGTTTCACTGCAGAAAACTAAATCAGATTCGATTTATTTTTTTGATATTTTTTATCTATTTTTCTGAAATTAAGACGAAAACTTTAAGACTTCTTGAAGTTTTAAACCATGTCATGACAAATTCTTAAAATAATTATTTGCAAACTATTAATTGTAAGTAAATTTCAACTGCTCTCGATTTCAAGCATTGTCGAGTCTAATATCATCTGTGAATCGATGAGATAAAAATAATAATTATCTTTAAAGATACGAAAAATAATAATTATCTTTAAAATACTAGTTGTTTTATACGAAAAATAATAATTATCTTTAAGATACTAGTTGTTTTACGGTCCAATATCATATGAATCGATGAGATCAAAATAATAATTATTTTTAAAGATAATTATTATTTTTATTTCATCGATTCACATGATATTAGATTCGTAAAGCAACTAGTATCTTATATTATTTTCTTTAGTATTATAAAATATTATAAAATATATATAAAATATTAAGAAAATTATATAAGATACTAGTTGTTTGACATGTGTAATAGGTTTTATAAGTATATTAAAAATATAGTTATAATTAAACATACACTTAAAACATACACTATGAGAAGTAATTCGTAGCAACAGATGAAAAATATTTGTTTGCCATAAGTACCTTACGTAAATGTTATCCAAAGATAAAAAAATTAACAATAACAACGATCGATTCGAGTGGTATGCACCTTGACCCTCACATATGATAAAGTATAAAAGATACATACATAATATCAAGTAGCTATCAAATAAGTATCTGCTCAAGAGCAGCGTAAGAACCTTTAGAACTTTCGATAAATTATTGAATTACTGAACTTGAGAATGCTTGACACTTGTTACTGTTTTCACACGAAATATCTCAAGATTGTAGAATAAAAATCCGAAATGCTGGACATTTCAGCGCATAATGCATATACTTATCACGAGATAAATTTGATGGCAAATATAAATAATTACACGATAAGCTAATATCATTATTCAATAATTGAATAATCTTGTATCTCAGTATATATATAATAGAGATAGAATACTCAGATATATAATACATAGCGTGATCTGCACTCTTGTCAAGCGCGCATTTATCATTCCTGGACGTTCTGCAAATCGTTTTTGGTCGTTCGTCATTCATTTGCGTCGCCGGGTATTGTGCATTTGTATTGCCTTACACACGGTATGCGCATCTATTTGGCTTCAAGTAGAATAAAAAATGGTGACCCTCGCAATTTCCTTAATAAGAAGTACCGAGACGATTTCTTTAAGAATAGAATCCTGACCTCGCACGCGAAATCGCCCCAAAGTGATTTGTCAACGTTTTTGCTATCAAGACAGCTACAAAGAATATTGACAAAAAAACCATCTGTATGACTACAATTTAGCGAATATTATATTTTTAGAAGAATCTTATTTTTAATGAGTTGCAAAATTTAATCTATTCTTTTGAATAATTCAAAAGTCATTAAAAAATGACTATATATCGTAATTTTTATTGATTATGATGACATGTTATTAACTACGTACCTTGATCAAGTAGCAGATTTCGATAACACATGATAGAATGTTGCAAAGTCCGACGATTCTTTTAGATCAGAAGGATGATCATAGTTGGCACAGTGAATCATTATTGGAAAAAAATATGTATACATAAGATTATTCCTATTGCTCACGTGCACAGATTACATTCAAATAACATTAAATATTTATAGCAACGTATCGAGCAGATTATAATATGTGTTTTAAGTGTTAGTACCTGATTTTTTACTTGTTTTTTCTTCAAAAAGCAAAAATGTGTACAAAAGACTCTTTTAAAGAGCAATTTATGATTCAAAGTTTCAAAATCAAGATCTTAGTTAATTTTACAAATTATAGTCTAGATTGAAAAGTCTAAATTTACTAACTGATTTTTATGAACAAAATAATTTTGAGGTCTTTATATGTTAAATATTTAATCTTTCAGCTATTCATATGTCAAAATTAATAACTTCGCTCAACTGATGTAAAATTTTCTCTTATTTTAGAGGATAAAACGCTATACTACTGCACCGACGACGATTTTCTCTTGATTTTCCTCCGTCCATGCAAGTTTTATCCGCAGAGCGCATATGAACTCATGAAACGCATCGCGGATTTCAGACATAAGAATGCAGCTCTCTTCTATGATCTATTGCCGAGTGATGAAAGAGATGCCATCGTGAATCACAGTGTTATTAACGTTTTAAAAACAAGAGATCATAAAAATCGCAGGGTGATGATAGTCCAAGCTGGCAAAACTTGGGATCCGTCTAAGGTTACGAGTGATCAAATATTGAGAATGTTTTATTTAGTTCATTTGATAGCCATACAGGAGCAGGAATCGCAGGTATCTACAAATATATAAAGTACGTGTCTAGCTTTTAATCCGTGACTGTTCAAAATTTTTCATATAGACTGAATACCCAAATTATTGAAAATTATGTTCAGATATCGACTGCAATGCAGCAAAAAGAAAAGTAATTTGTGTTTAAATCAGACATTTTCCTTTCAATCTTTGTATATTTATAAATTTCTGTACAAATATACATATACAGAATGATTCATTTTAATATTAGCAGACAAATATTTTGAAAAATATGCGAGATACGAAAAAATGTTTCAGACAAAAGTTATATGATTTTAAAGGAGATATAACATGGTGTCATTAATTTGACTTTAAATAGTTACTTGAAGGTCACGTGAAGATCACTCTCAATTTTTTAAATGGAACTGCCTATTTTTTATTACATATTCTTGTAGCTTATCTCGAGAGCTTTCCAAAACACTATAATTAAGTTAGTTTTCATTAAGTACTTTCCGAGTTATGAGGCTTGAAATCGTTTCTTAATTTTACATAAACCATAAAATATCTTATAAAATATTCATTTTTCGATTATTTTTCCTTAATACTTTTATATACAAAATAATGAGAGGAATCAATTGATGTAAAGAAAACACATAATTGTTTCGAAAAAAAAAAAATGTAATTGTTAATTGCAAATTACATTTTTTTTTTCGAAACAACTGTGTTTTCGTTACACCAATTGATTCCTTTCATTATTTTGTATATAAAAGTATTAAGGTAAGATAATCGAAAAATGAATATTTTACAAGATATTTTATGGTTTATGAAAAATTAAGAAACAATTTCAAGCCTCATAACTTGGAAAGTACTTAATAAAATCTAACTTAATTATAGTGTTTTGGAAAGCTCTCGAGATAAGCTACAAGAATATGTAATAAAAAATAGGCGGGTCCATTTAAAAAATAGAGGGTGACTTTCAAGTAACTATTTAAGATCAAATTAATGACACCATCTTATATCTCTTTTAAAACCATATAACTTTTGTTTGAAACATTTTTTCGTATTTCGCATATTTTTCAAAATATTTGCTTGTTAAGATTAAAATAAATCACATATATATATGTATATATATGTATATAAAATTGTAGAAATTGTTAAGCATGGGTGATTCCATCGAATCGCGTGTATGCGGTAACTTATGCAACAGCAAAATTGTAAATTTGATTATATAAGAAGGAAAGTATCTTGAAGATGGACCAAAATTCCAACAGCAATTTTTAACAATTTTTTTTGTAATTCTCATTTTGTAAGTCTCAACAATGTTAAAGTAAAATAATTTAATCTTAAATAATTTAATCTTAAATAAGGTACAAACATGAATAAGATATGATTATGTACTTTAATCGGTTGATAAATAATATGAATAATTCAATATGAATTTAATATCCATGAAAAAAGATAATATCACACTCTAATTAAACACAATGCAATAGCATACATCAATATTAATCAATTTTTTTCAGAATCATTTTGTCAAACGTCTATTTTTTGTCGTGTCATAGTTATTACTTTATCTTTTTTTTTAGATATTTGGAACTGTTGTTATAATGGACTTCGACGGTCTCTCCATGAAACAGGTTAAGGGAATGCCACCAAGCTTTTCCATAAAACTTCTTGGTTTCATTCAAGATGCAATGCCATTGCGTTTAAAAGAGGTTCATATCAATAATATTAAGTCTAAAATTATTTTTGTATAAAAAAAATCTTATATTCTTATATTTTGCGCGAATTAAGTTAAATGTGATCGATAAATTTAATTGTTATGTGTCTGTACTCTTTATTTGGAAATATAATTATTATTCTTGACTAATCAAGAGTATAATAATTATTTTTGTTACATGAATATTATATTCCTAATTATTCGATATTGTTTCAGATTCATTTTGTAAAACAACCATTTCTGTTTAACATGGTATGGACAATGTTTAAACCATTTGTTAGAGAAAAACTGAGAAAACGCATGTTCTTCCACGGTACCAATATGTCCTCTCTTCACACTCACATTCCTGCTAGCCATTTACCGAAAAACTATGGCGGTGAACAACCGGAAATAGATTACACTAGCGCCGATTGGTACCCAACAATACTAAATTACGAAGATAAGATTAAAGGTGATTAAAATTGACGAGAAAATGTTCATTTGAATTATTAAATCTCTTAGCTCTGGCATCTTTTCGTTAATGCGAAAAGAATTATGTAACTATAATTAATCTCTATCTTTTTTTTACAGAATGGAACACATATGGATATACTGATAAAAAATAAATTAAATTTTTATCAGATCAATATCATCCTAATGATATTAATATAAATAATTTTTTAATTTCGGAAAATGTAATATATTACATGTGAGATGTATTTTTATGTTTAGACTATCATATGTACACATTTTATATTATGGTGATAATTTGTAGAAACATTTTGATGTACTAACATAAAAATAATAATTCAGACTTAATTGATTAGTATTATAATATTTCACAAATTGAAATAAATATTTTATTTTGTATTTTATAAATAATAAGAAATTAAAAGATATAAGATATTGACGTTTAAAAATAAATTTTATTTGATATTCGAAGAAAGTGCTTCTTATTGTATTGAGACATATTTGAAATCTATATGTGGAAAAATAAAAGAATTGAACATATCAAAATTTGTCATATGTCAAGATGTCCTAAATTATAATACATGAAATTTTTTTAAATAAAAATATGTTGGTGCGATTCGCGTCAATTCTATTAATTATAAAAACAGGTTTTTTATAAAAAAATTAACTTCATATTGCATTCACAAGAAAGATTGATTTATTCATTTGTAAATTCAAAATTATTTTAGTTATACATTAACGCGTATATTAACATATTTGTTATACATAAAATAAATCTTTATCACGCTGCATACGTTCGAGACTTTTATATATTATTTATTTCTTAAGTTGTTGCGATTCTTCTCTAAATGAAAAAATTGCCGATATATGCAGAAAAAATATGTGCGAATCACACTTGCGTGATGTGACAATAAATATATAGCTGATTTGTTTATGTAAATGAATGCAAAATCTTCATCATGTAAATTAGCTGTGTGTATCTAGTATTATGCACGTAAAGTAATTGCGATTTATCTTCCTCCCTACCATTTTTGCATACGCCAAAGAGATTATTTATTCATAAATCGAATCTATAATAATTTTATATAATCTATAATAATTTTATGGGTAATAACTCTATGGAAAATTAATGATAATAATTGACAAAGATATACAAGACTTAATAATGCGTTTCCTCGTGCTTGCACGATTATCAAAAATTCTTGTCTATCAAGAATATTAAAAAAAAAATGTGCAAGATATTGTCATATGTGAGATTAAAATCTCTTCAATATTATAAAGTTAATTGACTAATTCAAAACTGATCCTAGAATGAATTAATGATAGAAAATGAATTCCTGAAGAGAGAAGAACGTTTCAATTGCAAAGTATGTATAAGATATTTTTTGTCATAACAGTATTTCAAAATTACAAAGACTTTTTCGTCAAATCATTCAATTTAAAATAAGATTTATTGTGACTGTGAAAAACGCAATCTGTTATTTGTACTTGAAAATGCACTTTCGTGGGATTAATTACATCGCAGAATATATATCATATTTCATAGGCGTATAAATTTGTATAGGGAATAAATGATGAAACAAATACGTTGAAAAAAAAATTGAATTAAAAGTTACTATCTTTCGGAAACTTTCATAAATTTATTATTTTCTTCATTCTTTAAATTCTTCATTCTTCGTGAAAAAGTATTAATTTTGACTATTTGTTTTTATTATATATCTTATTTTTGCAATTAACAATTAATAATTAAATTTTTTTTATAATTATATTTTTTAATAATTATATTTTTAATCATATTTATTAATATTTTAGGGACATTGTAGAAATAAAAAGCTCGATATTTGTTGTTAAAAAAATAATTAAAACAATGTAAAATTACAAAAAAAGGTAGGTCGATGAGCGATCTATCATGACGCAAAGGGTTAAATTATTTATAAATTGCTTACCTCGAAATTGCTCCGCAATCGCTCGATATTTCTTTGAGTCTCTTTTTTCACTTCATGGTTTATCTTTTATTGCTTCTTTGCGCATGTTTACGATACTCATCATTCACTTAAATACGATCGTTTCGACATATTTATCAGTTAATAACTAATTATAATAAACCTAAAAAATAATAGCACTTTTCGAAGTATAATTCGATGATATACGGAGTCTGCGTATTTCAATATTGTATTAAACGTCGCGAAGGTCAAATATTTGTATAACTAATGTACATTAGTACGCCACAATATACTGAGGTTACAGCAGATTTGTTGTTCCAAAATGTATTTAACACATGTATTATAACATAATTTCCGCGCTGAATATTTATATGTTGCATTTTGTTCAAATTAGATTTAATGTGATTCGTGCAGTGAAACTCGAACAGAAAGATTAAAACTCCATATGTTGTGGGATTATAATTCAAAAAATTTTATTAGTTTCTGTGTTTATTATAATTAGCTATTACTTATAAGTGTGTCAAAGAGTAATGAATAATCATATGTAAAGAAGAAGTAGTAAACATGAAGCAAAAAAGGGACATCGAACAAACTTTGAGGTGAGTAATTTATAAATTTAATTTATTATTTATTATTAGGCGATAATTTTCAAAATGCGACTAAATAGCATATTTACGTTAAATAGAGAGTTAACAATTTAAAACTAAAAGCAATATTATAAAAGTTATCGCGATTTCTTGTATGACGTTTCAGCACAATCTGATTAAATCTGATAAAATCTGAAATATTGAAAAATGTTTTTGAATTTTACATATTATATTAACATATATATGATATCATTAATGTTTTTTACTTCCAAGGAATAAACATTTTCAAAACGTGTAACGTTTGTATGTTTATCATGTTTTCGAGTTTTATTTAATACTTTGAAGTTTCTAAGTAATAAATACAATAAATATGAAAGTTTAAACACAAGAAGATAAAAAATGTATAACAGATAAAACAATTTTACTAATTTAATTAATAAAAACTAATTTAATTAATAAAAATAGACCTTTGGATTTTTTAAATAATCATTATGAATAAGTAAATATCTAGACATAAAATGTTTAATCCAAAAAAATTTAATTTGAAAAATTCTTAATAATAAATTATTAATAATAAAATACACAAATACATCATTTCATTTGTGTGTACAGTTTTAATAATTCTTTTTGTAATATTAATCTAATAAAAAAATACTTACTTTATATACATATAAATATAAATAAATATAATATAAATATAAATAAAAATTTCATCACTTTTATTCTCTTCCTTATTTATATTCAATAGACTATTACATATATATGTGATGACTACGGCATTGACATTTTAGTCTATTTATAGATTCATATGAATTTTGATATTGCGATAGACACTTTAAAAAAATCTCAATATTTTATCAATAAAAGTTTCAAAATTTTACATTAGACATTAATCTTAAATTTCACAAGTTGGCACACAACTTTTATATTTATGTAAATATTATGCGAAATATCAAAAATTAATTTTTGACACTTGCCTCATATTTATTCAATTAAATATTCAATCTTTTACGGTTTTTTTGTTTGTATTTGTTATTTTTATCTAACATTTGATTATATTTGTTATTCTTATCTAACCGTTCTCCGATTAAAAGTTATTTTAATCTTAATTTACATGTCTTTTTTCCACATAGTTACAATAATTGATTCCATTTTTCTTACTTATTACTAACTGTTAAATGTAAAACATTGAGAAGTAAGTATCTTTTATTTAATTTATATATATTTTTTATTTAATTTTATATAATTATTTATGTAAAAATTCGCGTATCCAGTCAGAAATATATAATTAATGTGACATCGAATTAATATCAGAAATCAAATGTTGAAGTCGAATCGAAAATTGAAATTTTCTAATTAAATCCACATCGAAAATAATATTAATTACTGATGATCTTTGACTATCATTTCGACATAATTTCCACATAATTTCGATATTGAATTAATCAATTAATTATATCCAAATGTTTTGCAAATTGAAACTTATTTTACATGATCTTGTTTAGATAATCACAATAAAATTAAAGATAAAATTCTACTAATTTTAATAAATAAAAAATATTTAAAGAATGATTATATAAAAAAAACATATTACTTATATTTTATGTTATATATACAGGGTGGGGCATTTTAATCGCCCCAGGTGAATATCGGGAAAACTAAGAGAGATACAGAAAAATGTTTCATACAAAAGTTATATGGCTTGAAGGGGAACATAAGATGGTGTCATTGATTTGGCCTTAAAGAGTTATCTGAAGATCATGTGAAGATCACCTCCAACTTTTTAAATGGGACACTCTATATACTTTTACATACTCTCGTAGCTTATCTCAAGATCTTTTTAAAACACTATAATGAAGTATTTTTTTATTGAGTACTTTTCAAATTATGAGGCTTGAAATAATTTCTTAATTTTACATAGACCATAAAATATCTAGTATTAAGTAAATATTCATTTTTCTGTTCTCTTATTTTAATACTTTTATGTACAAAATAATGAGAGGAATCGATTGGTGTAAAGAAAATATGTAGTTGTTTTTGAGAAAAAATATGTAATTTGCAATTAACAGTTTAATTTCATACATATACCTGTAGATATATATATATATATATATATATATATATATATATATATGTAAGCAGAATTTTATCTTCCATCGCAAATTATATATTATATAAAAAGTTTTATAAATTGAAGAAATATATATATTGAAGGATTTTAGATACGACATATATATGAAAAAAAATGGTTCAAAATCCATTATTTAGTTCAATAATGTTACTTCTAATAAATATAATATAATACTTTATGTAATTGTAATTATAATTTTTACATTAGCAATAGAAATTAATATTAATAAATATTAGAAACAGAAGAAATTGAAATTATTTCATTTCAAAGTAAAATAAAATAAATTTACATCATAAATTAAGAGTTAGAGATAATTAATTTATTTCATTCTTTTGTTTGAAGTAAAATAATTCCAAATTCCTAGTATTTAATATTGTTTATTTTTTCGACACATCGATATTTTCGAAAAATATCTTGTTAAATAAAATAAATACTCTTATATCCAAAATATGTTATTCAACATATTACTTATAATATATCTAAAATTTGTAATTTAAAATTTTTCACATATAATTTTTACTATTCATATAATACTATTTATATAATATTATATTTGTTACCTGTAATAATAAAAAATCGCTTACATTACTTAATTTAGGTAATTTTAGACATTATGAAACATTACAAAATAATAAGCGATGGCGCAAAAGTTGACTTTCGATTAGATTTAACGAGTTCTCAACCGATCAGAAATCAATGTTGAACTAACGTTAGACTTCTGACTGGATAGCTATGTTAATGTAGTTATGTTAATTTGTTACTTTATTCGATCTTAACTATAAGAATTATTTAATTGTTGCGTGTTTAATTTGTGCAGAATTTTTGTACATTTATAATACAAATAAAATATATTTTTACTTACTAGACAGTTGTTAACATTTAATTAAAAAAGATGATGTTTGTTACTGATTACGTGAATGACCTAGACCTCTATCAATATTTCATTATTTCACATTGTATTTACATTATATCCCTTCATCAATATTCCATATCGCCAGGTATACGTAATTCATATACAATAAAGTTCATAATACGTTCTAAAAAGTATTTCTTTTATTTATAATATATTTTATTTATGATACGTTTTTAGCTTTCAGTTATTTAAATTCTAATAATATTATTATTAATAGTAATATTAATTTATTAATAGTAATATTTCGTCGATTAAAAATAATATAAATTTTGAATTAAAATTGTAAATTACTTGGGTTTTTTTGGATTTATAAATAAATTCCAACAATTTGAATCTAAAAATAAAAAACAATGTATTGTAAGAAAATAAAGAAATAAATTATTCTTATTTGCAATAAATACTTGCTTAAATTTTTTCAAGGTACTATTCAAATAATTGTACTTTTAAGCGTTGCAAATTATCAAACAATGCGATTACACATTTCGAATTCTCGAATTCATTGATTTCTTTAGAGTCCTCCAATTCAAGAATTGAGTTCGAATCAAGGATAAAAGGTTTATATATGTGTGAATATTACGCAGTTTCACAAATTGTTTAGATGTTCCACGAATTTCTATGAATCTGTATTTGTAAGCTTTAATCCGACACAAAATTTTATTTTACGAAAAATTTAATTAATATCAAAATTTTTAGAGAATATTGATCATATTGATTACACTTTGTAACTTTCCATAATTTAGATAATTTCAAGTGTATATGAAATTATGCTACCATCGTTTCGCATCGTCACGTCCATGTAAAAGTGGGGGAACCTATGACTTGCGAACCATTCTAACCGAACTGTCTGGACACAGTTCTCATCAACAATGCGAGCACCACGGAACTAATTTGCTCAATCCTTTTATATTGTGATCTATTTTCACTTTAATTTTTATATTTTATTGTTATTTCCCGCGATTATCTGACGATTTATTCAAATAAAAAGAGAAAGAAAGAAAAAGAAGGATTAATCAATCTTTAATCTACAGTGATTGATTGTGAGTATCACTAAAATTTTAATGATGACAGACATATAGACAAATAGAAACATACATATAAAAACTGATTTGGTGAAAGGGCAACTTTACATACTTTAAGATATAATTTTAATCAATTTAATTATTCATATTTCACGATAATTGATACTAATAAAATTTATTTCTAATCGCATATGTCGTAAACACACGTATACATTTGTCGACATATCATAAACAAATACATGTACTTATATAATTTTAGGTTTATTTTTGGTCAGTTACAACTTCCAAATTCTCATTTAAAAACATTTTTTTAAAAAGTGAATAAAGAAATACCGATGTGTTTTATCATATTTTAAATATATAAAAGCATCGTAAACAGCAAAAGTAGTTATTTTATTACCATTTTAATGTAATTTACCAAGTGATGCTCATTTTTTCTAAATACATATTTATTATGGAAAATATATAAATACATATTTATTATGGAAGATATATATAATTTGCCAAGTAACGCTTATTTTTTCTAAATACATATTTATTATGGGAAATATGTATAATATATATGTTTATAATACATATTAATTTACAATTTTTTGGTAATGAATTACAAAAGATGTTATGGTTACTTTAAAATTTATCTGAATTTATATTTTATAAAATAAATATTTTTCTAGAGAAATTTTATCTACAGTTGGTATTGTAGTCTTTTATGCGTATTTTATTAGTTGATGCATACTATTAAAAAATGAGATAGTAATCCATACAAAAAACTGCAGAAAATTTTTAATTTATACATAAAATAATGTATGCATAAGTAGTACATAATAAAAGAGAAAAAGATATTTAAGAATGCTTCAAATTTTATTTAAAATGACGGTATTTCTTTAAAACTTTTCTTTTCCGTAAAAACGTAGAATGTTCATTATATTTTCTGTCACACTTCAGTAAAACAATGGATTACGCTAAACAACAAATAGGTTACATTAAAGCAGATATGCGTAAACACATCACAAATACATATTTATTTTGTATAATTATATAAAATGTTTCGTAAGATTTACCTTCAAGGAAAAATATATTTTTAATTAATTTGTCTTATTTTCTTTGTAAAAATGCAAATATTAACTCTAAAATATGAAATTATTCGATTTATTATCTTAAATAACTCTCAACTAAACTTCTAATTAAATTGCTGTTGCATTAGTCTTATATTAAAATCGAATCAGTTTTTACAATCAATTTTGAATAATTTGATATAGTGAATATTAAATTTTTTCGGATTTAAAATACATTATCTCCAGTATTTTCAATCATTTTTCATTTTTTTTATTCTTATAGAACTTTGCTCTACATTTTAACGATTATATCATTTAAACATTATATACGTACGTGTAACTAATTGACAAAAAAATATAATTATTTGATAATATTAGTTTTAATAATTTCCAAGTGAACATAATTAAACGTATACTTGCAAAACATGTTTTTATCCTTTTATGTAATAGTCTTACCTATAACTAAATATAATTAGATAAAAAAAACTCATAATGGATCTCTCCATATGTAATAATAAATGGATTCGTATGTAAAATAATGCTTATATAATATAAAAAAATATTTCTTTAATATTTTTTTAAAAATGATTGGCAATTCATTTAGTAGTAAAGGTGACAGGAAATAAACGAGATAAGATATTTTTCACGTAATATGACTTAAGATTGAATTATTAAAGCAAATGAATAGATCATAAAATTACGCACTGCACAACGACTGTTATAGAATTAAAAGGAATTTATCATATACGAATTCGGATGCGTCTGGTAAGATAACACTTAATTGGAATGCTGATAATTAAAGTAGTTATTTGCGATTCATTTTATTGATACCCCAATATATAATAATATATAATAACGAAAAGCTGAATGTCGATATATCCAAAGCAATAGATACAAAATTATTGTATGTGTAAACATACATAAAGTTTTATTGTTTTTCAGAAAATAATATCAAACTTTATATTAATAAATTAATTAATAAATTATATCATAAAAATTAAGAGAATATAAAATCGCTCTGAATCTTCAAATGTGTTCTATCTTAATAAAAAAAGTCCATATAAATTTTTGTGCTATTTTAAAATTATAAGTAAAATTCTTGTTATCGAGCTAATAGAAAGTGACGATTTGGAAACCTTCACTTTAGAATCTACATAAATATTTGGAAACCTTAGCAGAGCCTTCTCTAACTGTTTTCTCGTTGCGAGATTCTCGCAGCACGCAATTTCAGGACGAACACGTGTATATATTTAATAAATTGCACTTCGTTGGCATTGAACGTAAATTCTTCCTATACGCACAAATACACACATGTCGGCACATTCACCGTTGTCACGCATTCCATAATCCAGTAACAAAATTCTGCTGGATATATACATTCTTGACCGACAGAAAACAATATACGAGACCGATTCTTTATCCTTTATTGTGAATTTTATCGGACAGTCACTTTTATTTCTACGTAGAAGTGCATTTTGCAGGATTAACATCACATGCGTAAAATAGTGCATCAGCAGAATATTATAATTAGCGTATGATAATTCGGATTATCTGATAAATATCGTCGTGTTGGATATAATGGCATCATCCGCAACTATCAAGGAAGACTTGAAACTGCCGTGCAAAGAAGAAATTTACCGACAATGGCAAGAGAATGGTTCGAAGATGTTTTTTGGTGAACACGAACTTAAACTTGAGTTGATTGAAATGGACGAGCTGTTTATCCAGAAAGCCAAGGAAGAATTGCGGGAGACGCCGGAAATAATCGCCAAGAGCTGCGCGGAGCTAAAAAAACTAATTGAAGGTAGAACAAGGTCAATTATACAGGGTGTTCCAAAAGTCCCGGTCGAATATTTCATAAACTATGCACTTTAGAAAGGAATGTTTCAGACAAAAGTTATATGGCTTGAAGGGGGCCATAAGATGGTATTATTAATTTAACCTTGAATAGTTACTTAAAGGTCACGTTTAATTTTTTAAGAAAGGTCATCTTGAATTTTTTAAATGGAACTACCTATTTTTTATTACATATTCTTATAGCTTATCTTGAGAGCTTTCCAAAACACTATAATTAAGTTAGTTTTCATTAAGTACTTTCCGAGTTATGAGACTTGAAATCATTTCTTAATAATTTTACATAACCCGTACTTAATCATTTTACATAAACCATAAAATATCTTGTAAAATATTTATTTTTCGATTACTTTACCTTAATACTTTTATGTACAAAATAATGAGAGGAATCAATTGGTGTAAAGAAAACATATAGTTGTTTCGAAGTAAAAATATGTAATTGTTAATTGCAAATTAATTCAAACGACTTTTTAAGGTCAAACCAATGACACCATCTTATGGCCCCTCTTCAAGCCATACAACTTTTGTCTGAAACATTTCTTTCTAAAGTGCATAGTTTATGAAATATTCGACCGTTCCGAGACTTTTGGGACACCCTGTATAAAAAAAACATTTCTCTGCTATCAAGATTTCAAATCCGAAGCAAGAAGGACAAATGCTACTATCGCAATTTAAATCTAATAACTGAGATTGAAACCAGTTTTGTAATACAACGAATTGAATTACTAATTTGTTCAATATTCTTGGTAATGTTTTTTCTTTCTGAATCTTTTTCTATCGTTATTCTCGTTCTTCAACCGGTTTCCATATATTTTATAAAAAGAAAGAATTGAAAGAAAGAGTGTTTTTTTTTGTTAAAGAAAATATATTTATATCGCAAAGTTTCTTATTAAATTATTTAATTAAAAAAATGTTATTCTAATAAATAATGCTCCTAAACTCTATAATTTTAGAGAGAAAATGATTCGTAAAAAGACACGATGACAAATGGAACAAGAAAATCTTTCTCTTTTACATAATCTCTAATAAAGAAAAAATATCATTTTCCTATATTTATAATATAGTTCAAGTATGTAAACAGGTTCACTTATCACAAAAAAATCGATTAAATCGTGCAATAACAATCATTTCTTTTTAACATCGATTTCAACGTTAGATTGAGTGCTTCTAGAGCAAAGATCAATTTTTGTACGCAATTACAAATCATAACGCAACGTATTTAACGATGGTAAAAGTATCAAACGTAACATATATACAATTTCATCACGTTCTTGTGAATCGAGTGAAAACGAAAGTTGCTCGCATTTACACTGATAATTTCCAACGTTTCTCTGTCTTTCGTCATAAAAAGAAGAGTGTGCAAGTTTTGCCGAAATATATAATTGATATTTATTAACAGAGTAATTAGAATATGTTAAATACAGAAATAGAAATTTACATTTAATGCCTCTTTTTAAAAGAATTTAAGATTGTTTTACAGATGATATCGATATTTTTTCGTATTATTCTCTTTATAAATTATATGCAAAATATTCTGTACATTTACAGTACATTTGTGTAATCTAAATTATTGATTTTATTACTGTTTTTATTATTATTATTATTAAAAATCACTCACTCACTCACTCATTTAATCGGTAACAATAATTGAAATTTATTTTTATTTCGTTAGGGGAATCTAATCTAATTGTACCTGATGATGAAGATTTTTATAAATCATTCTTGCGACCATGCAAATATTATCCAAAAAGCGCTTTTTCGCTTGTAAGTCAGAACACTTTTAGTATGAAAATGTTATTATTAATATCATTAATTCATCTCTCTTTTTCTCTTTCTCTCTCTCTCTCTCTCTCTCTCTTTCACTTTAAAATAATATTATAATATAATAAACAGATATAATTAACATAATAATAACATAATAATTAATTAATATAATACTATCATAAATAGATATAATTAACATTGAATATAAGTTAAATATGCTATAACATTATATATTATTATAAATGCTATATATATAATTTAAAATTTTGTACAAATTCTGGCTATTTGAGATTGAAATTGATTTTTCTTCAGCAAAAATGTCAAACTAGTTATAGTTTTAACGTAATTAATTATTGAATAGACATAAGGAGCTCATGAAAAATTAAAGAAGGAAATTCTAATAAAAAAAATAATTTTTAATCAGTTTAAAATATTAATAACAATTTTGTGTGTATTTACATTTAAAAAAATAGATTTAAAATTCGATATTTTATTGAATTCTATTTTAGAAATTAACAAAGAACGTTAAATACTAACCTCCTCAACATGTTTACTGAGAAAAAGTAATCTCTGTGTTAGCCAAAGAAACTGTACAAAATATATACGATCAATTACATATTCTATATTTGACATAAAATTACTTAATTTTTTCGTATTGCTTGATAGATTAAACGGTTTTATCGGTTTCGTCAAAACTATCCGCACATATTTATTCATTTATTGCCTAGTAAAGAGAAGATTGCCTTTTGCGCCAATTTGATTTATCCATTGCCGTTTCGCGCTAAAGACGGAACCAGAATATTACTAATAGAGGGCGGTAAACGATGGAATCCAAAGGAAGTATCAATCAATGACTTCTTTAAAGGCGTGATGTTGTGTTTGTTGTTGTCACTAGGCGAGCCCAAAACTCAGGTTTGCCATTGAAAAATATCTTTTCTGTTTCGAGATAAAGATTTGTACATCTATAGATAAATTTTTAAATTAACTTTCAATTTATCGATAAATTTACGAATCATTAAAAATAGTTTAACACTGTTGAGTTTTATTTTGTTTCTCAGATTGCGGGTGCGTGCGTCATCATAGACGTGGAGGGTTTATCTTTGTCTCATATAACGTATATTACTCCGAGTTTCGCCAAAATGATGGTTGAGTTTACACAAAAGTGTTTGCCCCTTCGTCTTAAAAATATTCACATTGTAAAACAATCTTTTCTGTTCAACATGGCATTTGCAATTTTTAAACCATTTTTAGAGGTACACAATTTTTTGACAGCCGAATATAATTCGCTATTATATAAGTCATATGAAATAATAAATTTCCAATAATTTAAAACTTTTCACAAATATTTATCTAAAATATATAATTATAAGAAAAAAAATAAAAATAAGTATTATTGAATTAAGAAACTAGTGAGGCTATCCAACAGAAAATACAAATAATGTATTTATATATATTATTTATATATATTTTTATTTGTGCTTTTAACTTGCTTGTTAGATAGCCTTACTATCTTCTTAATTCGTTATCACGCGGTTGTAAAGAGGTGTTTATTTACATTAAGTTTATATATGTAGGTAAAATGAGAAGTATCGGATCGAAGGGATCTGAATAGCTCAGCAGAGCAGTCGCCGGAGAAGCGAAAGATTCGGATTCGATTCCCGATTCAGTAACTATCGACCTGATATTTTTCTCGCCTACAATTTCTTTAAAAGAGATATTAAAAATATCGAAGATCTTGAAATTTAATTTTTCCTTGATTTGATCAAGAAAAATTCGTGTGCACAATAATCATTAATTTTTCTGTTAAACGTATCACCATCCGCGTTTGGCTCTGATATTTAAAAATAAATGATATTTGTTGCAGGAAAAGATTCGCAAAAGAATTTGTTTCCACGGAACAAACTGGGAGTCTTTAACGACTTTCATAGACAAGAAAGCGCTACTTAAGAGGCACGGGGGTGAATTAGAAATGCCCGAGAGACAATTTGGTGTAAATTTTTGGCAAGGTTTATGTTATTGTGAATCCTTTTTCGAAGGTAATAATAATTTTACACAACTGACGATTTACATTTAGATGATACCAAGAGAATTTGCTGAGTTAAAGATAGGGGTGTGTGTGGGAGGAGGTCAGTCTATATACGCACTGAGAAAAAAATCTGGTTGCATTAATTAGAATTCTGGTAGATTCAACCAGTATGTCTGTTGGAAAGTGGACGAATCAGAATTCTTGTAGGAATTACCAGATGAATCTGATTAATTTCTTCCTGTTAAATTTACCAAATTTTCTGGTTAACAATACTAAACTTCTCAGCACCAAGTCGTCTAAAATTTTTTCCATCTAATCTCAAAAGTCTGTTTAATATTTTGAAATCCAACAAGATTATTGGATAAATTCAATTCAGATTATTGAATAAATTATTTTAAATTCAGTTTGTTAAAAATTAAACTGATAAATAGTGATGCAAGAAGAGGATGCAGCTCAAACACACACAATCAGAGAGCTAGCGTTCTCTTCACTACTGCTCGTAAGAGAAAAAAATATACTTTGGATTTAATATTAATACTAGTTCTTTATACATTTCATGGCAAATATTGAATACGAGTTAAGTTAAGAAGAAAATAAAGAAATGAATGTAACAAAAAATTTTGTAGATCCAACCAGAAAATACTAATCAAATCCTTATAGTAAAATCTATTAAACGTTCTAATTATAAAAAAAATCGAGTCTTATCATGATAACTAGAAATTCTTGTTTGATTTAACCAAAATACCTTCAATCATACGTCTTGTTGGTACAATCAAACGATTTTTCTCATGTATAAATTAAAAAATAAAATCTAGAAATTAAATGTTAATTATAAATTGTTAATTATAAATTAAATGTTAATATCCACTATGGAAAACAGTGGATGAACCCTGATGAGGCCGTGGCAAACCTCAACAAATATTCTTATATAAATAGAAATAAAATGTGCGTCGTTTTACGTATTAAATTATGATTAAATTTAAATTTAAATTCATTAAAGCTCTTTTATTTTATATGTACACAGAATTATATTGACAGAATCTATATTTCGTTTTAGTTATTCAACGTTCTGGATATAGTACAGATAATAATGTAAACTAATCACTATTTATATTGGATTGTTATGTTCATCAGCAATCATTTTTCTTATGATTATGATCAGCAATTATATGGAATTGCAACAAGAAACTAGCATCGTGGACATCTTATCTTTGAAAATTGCGAATGTAATTTAAAGTTGTTACATCAGAAATTGCACAAAAGAAAACACTAAAGGCCTATCAACGAAGGTGATTTATTAAAAAAACAGGCTATTTAAAAACAGTAGCAAATACATGTTGATATATATTGATAGCACCAATAAAATGTATTGCAACTTACATTACTGTATTTTTTTAAGTATTCTTATATATTTGTAAATTTTTTTTTTCAAAAATTGTTTGAGTGTATTTAATGGAATATTGGACAATATTAATAAAATAAGTATAAAATTTACGTGAAGGAAATGAGAAAATTACTAATTTTTTTTTATAATCACATAAATATTCAAAGATACAGTTATAATATTTTTCATTGCGACTGTCAATGTATAACTATATATTATACATTATAGTACATCAATGATAGATACGTGTATATATTTTGAATATTTATATGTGCATAACTTATTATGTACATAAATATCAAGTCAAAAACACTTTTTTAATACAAATTTATTTTTACACCAATTACATAAATTATATACCAAATGCACAATTATACACTTAAGTACATTAATTTGTATGCGGTTTTAAATAAATAGTAAAATCGTATCTCTCTCGCGCTAAATCACAAGAATACTATTTATATATTTCCTAATATATTTCCTATTATGTAATTATGTAAATCCTAAATCTCCCGTATGCAAAAATATTTAAAAATATGAAACTTTATCTGTTTTTTTTTAAGATTATTATTGTTCTTATTTCATAAATGAAATAATTATTCTAAAATCTATGGCTAACAATTATACCACATTGTAATACACCTGTATATAAAATCTATATTGATATGTATAATAATCTTATCACACATGACTGTAGGACTATAACAATTATACATATATCTCATTCCGATAAGATCACTGATACTTAATAGATAATTTTTGCAGTAAAAAATTGTGAAGAAATTGTAAAGAAATACACAATGTAACGCATTGTCACTTCTCATAATTTATCGCTTAATCTTATAGATTGATAGTTTTTGTTCAGACTATCTAGTGGAAGGAAGGAAAGAAAAAGGACTTATGCAACAACATATCATAAATAAAATTACAGAGTGAGCAACATTTGAATCATTGGTTTTAACAAGTGAACAAAAATGATCCGTAATCATCGTAATTCTTTCTAAATTGACACTTCGCCTTGTAAATTTTGCTCTTCTCTAATTATTTTCCCCAATAATTTAAATCCAAATAATCCTCTTCTCTAATTATTTTCCCCAATAATTTAAATCCAAATATTTGTATAGCTTTAATTGTGATTAATTTAATGAGAGGTTATTTCTTTTTGTAACCGTACGTATTGACAGCTGCAACAAGGAAAAGATTATTATAATCAAAACTCTATTTAATTAGAATGTGCCATTTTAACTTTATCATTGAAATATCTTGTAAAGTTTAAAAGATACGAAAAAATGTTTCAGACAAAAGTTGTATGGTTTCAAGGGGGACATAAGATGGTACCATTAATTTGATATTGAAGAGTCACGCAAATATCATCTCCAACTTTTTAAATGGGACACACTATATGTTTTTGCATATTCCTGTAGCTCATCTCGAGAGAATTCCAAAACACTATAATTAAATTAGTTTCCATTCCAAAACACTATAATTAAATTAGTTTCCATTAAGTACTTTCCGAGTTTGTTTCGAAAAAAAAAAAATGTAATTGTTAATTGCAAATTACATTTTTTTTCCAAACAATTATGTGTTTTCTTTACACCAATTGATTCCTCTCATTATTTTGTACATAAAAATATTAAGATAAGATAATCGAAAAATGAATATTTTACAAGATATTTTACGATTTATGTAAAATTACAAAATGATTTCAAGCCTCATAACTCGGAAAGTACTTAATGAAATCTAACTTAATTATAGTGTTTTGGAAAGCTCTCGAGATAAGCTATAAGAATATATAAAAGCATATACGGTGTCTCATTTAAAAAGTTGGAGGTGATCTTCACATGACCTTCAGGTGACTTTTCAAGGTCAAACTAATGGCACTATCTTATATCTCCCTCGAAGCCATACAACTTTTGTCTGAAATATTTTTTCGTATCTTTTAGACTTTACGAGATATTTCGATGACAAAGTTAAAATGGAACACCCTGTATAATATTATGTTATTGAAAAATTAGAGATGGCTTCTAATTTTTCTCAATTCTGTTATACTTATTCAGATAATTATGTGACGTAGTTCTCATACTCACCCTCATATTCCTTTTCGCATTGTATCAGCAATTTATACCATGTAGGTCCGTCTACCAAAGCGACTTCCATGGTACCGCCATATTGCGACGGCAGATATTTCGGCGATATGTATTTATGCAATGATTTTCGATCGGAACCGTGGAATATTATCTAGCAAAAAAGAAGAAAGAAAAATATACAGGGTGTCCCAAAACTCATAATTAATCTTTCAAAGACAGATTCCTGGGATTATTTGGAGACGATTTTTCCTCAGCGAAAATGTCGATGAAGGCCATCATTTTTTGCATGTTCCCGATTTGTCATCATATATCTTTGCAATTAAACCTTAAATTAAAACTCAACTAAAGTAAACTCTATTTAAAATTAATCAAAGAATGTGGTTTTGTTAATATTTTATTTCTACAAAGCTTAGTTTACAAAAAAAACCTTATTTCCAATCACTTATAATTCGAAAATTATTAGTGCCTCGACATTTTCGTTGAGGAAAAATCGTCTCCAAACGATCCCAGGAATCTGTCTTTGAAAGATTGATTATGAATTTTGGGACATCCTGTATAAGCAAACACGAATTGCATGAATATTTATTTATATATCGTGTACATAAAAAAAACTTACTCTACTCTTCAATTTCTCTCCTAGGAATGGCTTGAATAGAGCAAACACCATGTTGAACACATATGGTTGGTTCACGATATGTAAATTCTTTACTCTTAATGGCACTGCTTCTTGAAGCAGATCAACTATCCTTTTGGCAAACGGCGGAGTGAACTGCCAAGTTTGCTGAAGGGTGAGACCGTCCATGTCGAAGATGACGATCCCACCGGCGATCTGCGTGCTTGGTTCCAGTAAGGCAGCCTCCAGATATAGCACGCATCCCTTGAAGACCTCGTCCAGACTGCATTTGTTATGCTTCCACTTTTTGCCGAGCTCGAGTATCAATATGCGTCGACCGTGCTGATCGCGAATCGGCAGTACCGTCAAGACGTTATGGTCAAATACATTCTTCTCTCTGCTCGGTTTCAAATTGTCGTAGAAGTTCGCGTGTTTAACTTTGAAGTTGTAATAATGCTTGATGAGTTTGAGCGATGACTCGGGATAATACTTGCATGGTCTCAAAAACCTAATCAGCCACGGCTCGTTGTCCAACGGGCATTTGAGATCCGTCTCCGCTGCCGGTTCACAAGAAAGATTTTAAACAATAGCGAAAACATTCACATTCGAAAAGATTCCAAAATGCATTTCTTCGATATTTTCTCGCAAGATTTCTTAAATAATTTCTTAATCTTTTGATCAAAACTTTTTCAGTTTGTGCTCAAACTATTGTTCCATGTATATAAAATTTTATATTTATTTTGTACATTATTTTATTAAGTTTCTTTATATCAGTATATATAAAAAGAAAACCTTTTAATAATTCCTTCAAGCGTGCTATTGCTTCTTTTTGAACTTCGGGACTTTCTCTGAGCTCCTTTTGGGCTACTTGTTGCAATTCTGGAGTGGGAGGACCTACTTCGAGCTCGAACGTTTTGTTTCCGATTTTCAAGGACGGTATTTCAGTTAAACCCGATAAGAAGGTGTCTGAAAAAAATGCAATTTATTTTTAGCCAGTATTCACATCTTATTTTCCTTATAGTTATCTTTTAAGTAATTATTTTCCTTATAGTTATCTTTTAAGTAATGCTAAAAGCTCTGTAATTATAAGTAAATTAATTATTTCAGTTAATGATGATGATATTATCGGTTAAATATATGATTAAATTATGAGAATTATAATTATAAAATTAAAAATTTGTAGATATAATTTTTTCACATTCTTAAAGAAAAAGATAAAAAGGTAGTTTATTTTGGATTTTGAACAATTATAAATACAAAAATTTACATATAATACGTATACATTTTGAAAAATATTTTTAAACGATTCAACTTTCAGTTTTCTTATTTCGGATTTATAATTAATATTTTGTTTTCGCACATCTATTGTGAGTTTCTAGAAAATATAAATTGTTTCTCTTTTTTTTGTATTATGCAAGAATTGTCTTATAAAAATATAAATAAAATATAAATAAAATATATGAAATTTTCACAAGTAGCTTTAGGTTATACAAATTCAAATAAGAAATTTGTTTTAATCTTATACTTACATCATTTAATTTCTCTTTCTTTTTATATAGTATTACACATTTTAATTAATAGATTAAATTGATACAAAATTGAAAGTTTGTCATAATACAGGATATTTTAGCGTTTTTTTTGTAATTTATCTATAAGATTAGATGACAAACGTAAACAACTTGAAATTTTCAAACCACACATGTTCTCACCATCTTCAAACAAGATCCCTGAATCCATCATTCCTTGTAATAAATGAATAAAATACAAGAAGATCTATAGAATAATTGATGACGCATGATGTAGCTTTAATCCACATGCGAATACGGTGATTAAACTATGCGATAAATCAAACAATTCTGTTACTCGTCGAACCAACGAATAAGATGAGTTTGCTTTTCGTGTTCGAACAGCTGTTAATTATCTAACACATCGCGGATGTAGTGAGTAACGCAATCGTTTGCGACTTCAGAAAGGAAGCAGAACAAAAATCCTCGACGTACCACGTTCACAAACACTCAGTGGAAACATGAGTCAGCTTCCTTATCGTAAATATTCGAAGCCTGTGGTTGTAGAATTATATACTGAGAACTCCTACCAAATATAATCGCAATGTATTTGCTTTTTTTACATTGTATTTTCGATTATTATTAATTCTTTTTTGAATTTATTTATTATTTTAGCAATTATTTCTAAATCTGAATATCAAAAATTGGACAATTGAACAAAATAAAATATTGCTGAAATCATAATATCAATAATATTCTTTTTTATTATTTTATTCATTTATTCATCTAAAATATTTTTTAAATATATGAAAAAAGAAATCAGTTAAAAGACGTCTTACATATACAAACATTTTTTATATTATTTGTATATTTTAGCATTTATTTATGATAATTTCTTTATTAATTATACTAGAGTTTATTAATTTAAATTATATATTTGAGCTTATTAAACTTAAACAGATACATGACATTTATATATATAAAATTTTATTAAGCAAATTTATTGCGTCAGTATATCACTAATCACGATATAATTTATTTTTTTTTTTCGTCACGAATCTTTGATTTATCTTGATCATCAGAGGAGTTTTGACTATTTTTAATAGATTACAAAAGTTGTAAGATAATCGTGTCAAGAAAGTTATGTTAATACTTGCTAATATATTATACATGATAAGTTTTAGATACTGTCGTGCAATAATAATATCATTATTATTATTACGATATTACGACGCGGTTTCCTCAAAATACAGTCTAAAGTTATTATGTTAAGAAGTGCAAAATGTTAATTATAAATACTTAATTATAAATTAAAGAATAAAATTTATAAATACGTTGCATTAAATTTATTTTTTTTTTTATTTAAATTTATTAATTTAATAAATTTATTTTACTTTCACGAAATTCGCGCAGAGAATGTCATGATAAACTTGTAAATTATCGGTCGCCGGAACATCGCTGCAATTGACACACAGCAAAAGAATGTACCAAAAGATAATACATGCATGTACATGAATAGATATTGCACGCTTCTCGGTATACGTCGTTTAATAAACTGATATCATTAACGCGAACCAAGTGCACTGTTGTGGGCAGTTACCCTTATCGCTTTCTAAATGAGTACTGCTCTAAACGAGTTTCAGTCTGCGTTTGCAAATCAACAAATTTGTAAGCGCAATGTAGAATAAAGTGCAAACGATGTCGCAACTGGCTCATGTATAAATTCATGATTTTGCGATATACTTCTAGAATATTAAACAATTATAGGTAAAAAATAACCTTACACAAGATTTTTCTCTAGTTTTTTAGTACAGTGACAGATCGCATGGATTAGCCTAGAATATTGACTGGATAAATTGCATCGCGATTTCGACAAGAATCGGTATTACGACAGTTTTTATGTTGCGAATGGATAGAAGGAAAAATGCTGATTTCACCGTAGCACATAATGATGCATCGCGCATAGCAATTATACGTAGCAGTTATACGTGTCGAAAATAGTTATCACACTTATTACGTTTTTCTGCATGCGATATATACATAAATTACGTAAACGGAATTAATTGGAAGAATCGAGGAATCATTTAAGAATCATTTTGCGTATCATTTTATAATACTCATGCTTTTTTTCTATATCATTTATTCAATATGCGCAAATATGTATCAAACATGTCGATTTCTTAGGATATTGATAAAAGAATTGAAACAATATCTCCTTAATAAAACATTTGAGGCCATTTTTAACTTAATTTTTTATAATAAGAAAAGAAAGAACATTATAACAAAGTAGATTTAATAAACGCAGAAAAAATGTTACAAGTTTGCAATTATTTATATATATATTTTGACAACTAATTGCATATAAGATTTATTTCTTCAATAATTCGTGAAAATACATCAAAGCTATTTTAGAATAAAAAAAAATGGTAAAAAAGTATTTTAAACGAAGAAAAAGTCGATACATTTTGAGCAATCTCGTTATAAATGTCTGATGCAAACGAAAAACTTTGTCTACATGCTTTCTTTCATTGTTTTCTCTTTGACAGTCGTGAATGTCATTTTCTTTCATTTTTGTATCGATATCGCAAGTTTATTCAACCTTTACTAAAATATGATTAAATATATCGATTTTCATCATTGCTACATATCGACTGTATTTCTATTTTTTTTAGATTTACAAGCCAGGGAGCTCATTGCAGCGAAAACAAAGAAGATAATAATAATAATATTGATATTGCATTATACAGTTTATTTTTTTTTATTCGTTAAAAGTCAAAGATTGGATAAATAATGTAAAGCTAATATCATTGCAATCCGCATAAAATATTTTAAAAAATCATTCAAAATCAATATTGCTTCTGATAATAACTGTAATGAGTACATGACATTTTGTTTTTATTAATTTTTTAATTTTTAATATATTTAGTTTTTATTTCAATTTATGATTAGCTATGCAATGTTGCGTTTCTATTATTATTGTTACTTATTCTATTTACATTTAAATATTACTTATTTACATTTAAATTGCATGTAAATCTTTTAATATATTCGTTAATATTAATATATTAATATATATAATATACATAAAATATAAATGATATGTATTTTTTATTATTCTTTAGGTGTATTTATTTAGTAAAAATTAATATTATTTTTAGTTTATAAAGCATATGAATATAATTAATAAGTTGATTCAATGTTGAAATTGTGTTGAAATGATCGCGTCGGAGATTTATTAACACTTTATATCATTTCAATGTCGATTCAATCAGAGGATTTCAATTTTATTTCAACATTTTTGATTCTCAATATATATTGCATTAATTAATCGTCTAAAGTTGACAGTTGAAGGTTACCTAGGTTAGTGTGAATCATGAACTCTGAATGCCCTTCATTTTGCCGTTTAATTGAGTGAAGTCAACATCTAGAAAGAGAGCGAGATAGAGGGGCTCGTTTCCTCTCTTTCTTTTTGTTTTTTTTGTAATTCATCTGCGCAAAAGAAGACAAAGAACAGAGAGATTAGATTATTTGTCTCTTTCTATATGTTGGCTTCACTTTTTTGGCACATATGCGGAGTCTATGATGTGAATATCTATTTATAAACAATGGGAGAATATGTATCGGACCGTGAGAGGAGCAAACCGATAGTGTGAATTGGCTGATCGATCATGTTTGACCGGTTGGGCAGATCTTAGATATTGAAACGCTGATTTTATAAACAACTGGCAATCAATTAGAAAATTCTTCATAAATCACAGTAAGCATTTAAATCGGTAATTACATGCATATTCTATGAACAAAATTAACAATTTTCGCGGACATTATTTTGATATCGCTATGTGTTTATTCTGATTTAAAATAAAAAATGACTTTAGGGATATTATTAAGAAATTGCGTTTACGTAAAATATAAATTTTTAGAATAAATTATATTGTGTGTATATATAATAAAGACATGTTAATATATTAATACACACACACATACGGTACAGATTTTATTTAAAAAGATAATTTAATAAATATTATATTATAAATATTATTTAATAATAATATTATTTAATAATATAAAAATTATATAAATATTATTTAATAAATATTATATTATAAATATTTTTATAATTAGAATAAATTTAATAAAATTATTTTTATAATAATTTTATTAAATTTTGTTCTTAATTTTATTATATTTTATTATTATATTTTTATAATAATCTTTAAACAAGTCGTAGCATTTTATCTCCTTGTACTGCATCAATATAACTAAATGTAATGTAAAACATGTTTGAATAAATTTGTGGCAAAAATGTTTAGCGAGCTTTTGTAATCTCTTAGCAATTTTCTGCGAATCGGGCGCCATGTAATAATATTGAAGATTACTCTGCGCGATATATCTTCGTAAAAGAAAATGATGACTCGTTGTTTAGTTTGCCAGAGAAAGAGAGAAAAAAAGAGGAAGAAATAA